GGTTATTGCTTTCTCTTGCATTGTTCCCTTTAAAAGGATGTAGTGACTTTCTTTGTCTCATGTAATTTGTCTTGGCTTGAAATCTACTTTCTGTAAGCAGAGTAGTTACCCCTGCTTTGCTCAGGTTCCTGTAGCATGGAATATTGTTTTCCATCCTCTGATTTTCAATCCATGAATTTCTTTTTTAATTAAACGTGTTTCTTGTATGCAGCAAATTGTTGGATTTTGCTTCTCAATCCATTCTGCCAATCTATTTCTTTTGATTGGTGAATTGAGACCATTGAGATGGTTGTAAATGATATGTATTGACTTATCTTTGCCATGTTATTTTCCTATCATTGGCTTTCTTTTTTCCCCCTCTGTTTGTTTTCCTTGCCCGGTAGATTCATTCTGTTGTGGTTCATAGAGTTGCAATCCTTAGTATCTCTTTCTAGAATGTCCTTCAGAACATTTTGGAGTGCTGGTTTGGTGGTCATAAATTTCCTCAAGTGTTCTTTGTCATGGAGTATCTTATCTCTCCATCAATTTTGAAAGGTAGTTTTACAAGATATATCAATCTGTATTGGAGGTTTTCCTTTAGAGCTTGAAATACTTCAAGCTGTCCTCAATCTGAGGATTTGCATTGAGAGGTCTGCTGTGATTCTGATGGACTTTCCTTTACAAGTGATTTGTTTGTTTTCTCTAACAGTTTTTTTGGTGCTGGGGATCAAACCCATGACCTCTTGCTTGCCAGGCAAGTGCATATGCCACTGAGCTAACTCCCTAGCCCCTCTCTAACAGCTTTTAATATTCTGTTTTTGTGTTAAACTTCTGGAATCTTGTCTATTATATGCCTTGGTGTAGATTTCTATTCTTTTCTCTTTTTTTTTGATCATGAAGCAAGACTCTAGAATAACTACCAAAATGGGCTGGGGATTTAGCTCAGCAGCATAAGCACCTGCCTGGCAAGTGCGAGGTGGTAAGTTCAATCCTTGGTACCAAAAAAAAGAATAACTACCCAAAGCTGCATGTTTCTGTATGTTTTGAAAAAACAAGTCTTTTCAAAGTTAATCAGAAATGGCAGAAATAACTTTAGGCAAACCTAATTTGCATACATATTCCTTGGATGATAAAAAGTTTCTTTCTTTTCTTTTCTTTCTTTCTTTTGCATTTTGAATGCAGAAGGCAGCCTGGGAAATTATTGTGCTAATTAGAGCAAGGATTCTCCTGCTTTCCTCCTACTGTGTTCCAGTGTGTAGAACAGAGTCTGCTATGCAGCAGTGTCCAGTGAATACTTCTCAGGTGACTAAAGGAGGCCTCAGTTTGTCTGTTTTCCTTAGGCCTTTGTTGCACACAGTCTTATGCTGTTGCCCAGGTACAAGAGGACATTGATTCCCTTGGCTTGTTTCCGTCATGTGGAGACAGTGTCATCCTCCATGAAAGCAGCCCCCGTATCTGTCCAGTTGTCCCTTTAGAGGGTAAGTTTCTTGCAGGTAGGGTCAGTGGTTCACAGGGACTCCAGCGGTGCAGTATATCCACTGGGGTTTTGTTCAACCACTGTTGACTGAAGGAAGAGATCAGCACCTGGCTGTCGTTGCCAGGTCATGGTTTCACACCTTTGCCTGCTGTGGTTACAGGGGACAGTGGAGGTTGACCCTCCGCACTCAAGAATGTTTGCTTGTTTTCCACTTGGCGAGTTCTTTATTTGCCTGATGAGCATCACTTAGTTAATCCTGTTTAAAAAATAAAAGGAGTAATAGTCTGGAAAACTTGTATAGTGTACAGTTTTGTGCTTGTTTACTAGTGGTTTAAAATAAAATTATTTGTTTTCATTTGTTTTATTTTTTCCCCATTAGTCTTATGAGGGAATAGCTGTCACCATTGACATATGGGTACCCCTGCTTCTGGCCCAGAGCCATGACCTGGGTCTTTAGCCTGTCCTGTCAACAGGATGTGAGCCAGAAGGTTCTCTGGTAACTCGACCTCTGTGTCCTTTTTCCTAGGTAGTATTTTTGATTCCTGTCCCTGAGAGCTGTGGTTCCACCCCTTGTTGACCTTCGCAGACAGCCCGTTTGTTCCTTTTTGCTTTTATCTGGTCATCTCTTGCCTCCATCCTTATCTGTGGCAGCTCATGGTTCCTCTGATTAGTTCCCTTGCCCTGTTGACATAAAAATCCCGGTACACAGTTGGTTATGTTTTGTTTTGTGGCATTGGGGATTGAACGCAGCTCCTCGTCCAGGCATGGCAGGTGTCCCACCGCTGTGCTCATATTCCTGGCCATGGGCTATTTTTCAAGCAGTGTGCCATGGCCAGAGCCATGGACAGGTGACCTCTTTCCCCCACTGCTGCTCCTGCACATGTGGTCACTGTCTCCAAGCCTCACTTTAGTGTCTACCGCTTAGTGGACGGGAGTTTATCTGCTTACAGAAATAGCCAGCACCAGTGCAGTCTCCTATCCCTCCTTCTCTGTGCATTTGTTTTTAATTTAAACCTCAAATATTGCTCATAAATTTGAGGATTTGTATTTATATTCCAACAAAATACCATTATGATTTTATATTGAAATATATTGAATTTTTCTTAGTATGGTGAAAATTGGTATTTTAACAACTTTGCCTCTTTCCATTCATGGATAGTGGTATCAGTACTTATTAGTAGGGTTTTTTTAATTGCCTATGTATACTTTTGTAAGTTTTTCTCTTATCAAGGCTTCTGTAATCTTTTGTTTAATTCTAGTATCTTTTTGTGGCTATTATCTGCTAATGTTTTATTTGTTTGTTTGATTGTTTCTCCTTTCCAAGCAGTCTACATTTTGTCCTGGTTGCTTGTAAGGATTTCTTTTTGTCTTGCTACAGTGTGTTTAGAAGTAAGTTCTGTTTTAGCTCCCTTCTGGAGACTGGTGTTTTCAGTCTGAGGACTCACATTCCTCACTAGCTCTGGAAACCCTTGGCTGTCATTTCCTCCGTGGCAGCCCCACTCTGCCCCATGCTCCTTCTTCCTGTGGGCTTCCTAGGTGCCCCCTCCTCTGGCTCAGACCCTTCCTAGGTGCCCCCTCCTCTGGCTCAGACGCCCTGAAGCCTCCCTCCATGTCGCAGTGAGAGGAACAGGCTGATGACTCCGAGGCTGTGGGGAGAAGCGGGCTGCTTCCTTCCGCGCCCTCTGCAGCCCGTGGCTGTGATCCCTGAGCCTCTGCGCAGTTTGTATTTGCCCTTCCCGCCCACTAGTAGAGTACAGATGCCTCCGAGTTACACCAAGCGTGCAGTTTGTTTCTCTTTTCCTTCTTTTGTTGTTTTATAGAGGAGCAACACAGAAATTATTTGAAGCTAAAAGTCCTCCATTCTCCATTCTTCCATTTTTACCATCTGTCTTTTGAGCCTACAGCTGCCCCCATAATAAAGTCACAGGAGCCCTGTGTGCTGTGGGCATCTCTCCGCATCTTGACTGTCGCCTGTGTTAGACAGAACTGTTCCTCTGCAAACCGTGTTCGCTCTGCTTCACTGCTGCTAACCTCCTGGTTTCGCTCCTGTCCCTCCCATTCCCTGGCAGCCTCTCTCGGAGTTCTCCACGGGCATCTCTCCTCTGACCCTCCACACGGTGATCGTTGGCATACAGCTGGCTTCATTCTGCTGTCCTCTCTTCTGTGACACATCTTCCACCCCGTGTTGCCTTACCGATCTGTCGGCCTGGATGCCGTAGCGTATCCAGAGACTCGCACATCCTTCTCTCTGCCTAACTATCCCCTCAGATTTGTGTATCCAGCTGTCCACTTCGTAGTTCCATAAAGTGCCTGGTAGATTCTCCCAAGCCAGCTCCTCCATAGCACTGGCTGTTTCCCCAGCCACAGCCTTCTTAATTCTTCAGTTCCCCAGCACCCTGTCATCCTTAAGATCTTTGCTGAAGCATCACTTCCTCCAAGGGCTTCCCTTACAACCACACCTAGAGTGGGTTCCTGTTCCAGACTCCTTCATAAATCTTGTCTGAGATTGTTCTTTGCATTCACTTGTTAACTGTTTTTTCTCTGAATGGTGCAGTGTTACTTCTGTGGGCGTCTGGGCACTTTTATCTTCTGCCTGCAGTATCTGTAGTATAGGGGCTCATTAAATCCTTGCATGATTAGCTTAAATTATATTAATAAAACCTTACAATGCACGTTTCTCAGATTAGACAGAAAGTTGTTAAGTGCTTATTTGGTTTAAATAACTTCTTATCCTAAGAATTAAATTAAAGATTCTTATACCAAGACGTAGCTATGCTTATATTTACCTAGAAAACCATGGGGTGTCTTGAGATTCCTCCATCCATATAAATTTCTTTAAAGATGAAAACATTTGTAAAAAAATTATTGGCTACTATAATATTGATGAGGAATTATACATCTAAAAAACGCTGCACAGTACTTGAAAAACTGATTAAAACACTGTGAAGAAAATCCAAAGTTTTGGGTCATCTTTACTTTCTAATGAACACATTAGGTGGTGGGATGAATGACTGACCATCAGAGCAGGTTTCTGCTGCTGGCTCTGGTGCCCTCGGGCAGGGAGACAGCTGGAGTCAGTACAGTGTGGAATCATTTGGGTAATCAGATCTTTTAAGGCTTTAAGATGAAGACATTATTTTTTAAAATATTTTACCCATACTTTGTTAAATATCTGACATTTTGTCAACTGCTTATTTAATAAAAACAATTTTGTTTCCTTGTATAAATTAAATTTTTGGTGGTGTTACTGTGTAGTATTGTGTAACTTGGTCAGAAGTTTGTTTTTTTTTTTTTTTTTTTTTTTTGTCTTTTTCATTTTTTTCGGTACCGGGGATCAAGCTCACGACTGCCTGCTTGCGAGGCAGATACTTATGACGCTGAGCTAAATCTCTAGCCCCTTGGTCAGAGTTTTTGCTTGTCACCTAACGCTGCTAAAATTAAGAGAGATACCATCTGGGATGTTTTGTAGTTACTGGTTTCTCTGTTGAATGTACCCCTTAAATCTGTTGCATCTAAACAGTCCAGTTGGACTTTTTTCTTTTAGATTTCCGGTCTGTGCTATGACAGCAAGATGTTCCAAGTTCACCAGGTGCTCTGTGTCCCCACCTGGATGGCCCAGTTCTTCTCCTGGACACTCGAGCCCATCTTCTCCTCCTCGGAGCCCAGCAGTGAGGCCAGAGTCGGGATGGGTGCCACCGTGGACATCCAGAGGCAGCAGAGAATGGAGCAGCTCGACAGGCAGCTGATGCTCTCTCAGTTTGCACAGTCAAGGCGACAGAGACAGCAGCAGGTAACAGCCAACAGCGTCCAGGGAGGCCTGTAGAACTGGGTAGCTCTCCTGTGATGACAGGTGCGATTAGGGACTGCGTATCATTCCTGTGCTTTGTGATGTGGATTTGACACCTTTCCAGACAAAATGTAGGTCTCCGGTGGCGGCTGTTCTTGGTTTTTTTGAAAGGACAGAGACATAAATTGCTGCTGAACTATTGGTCAGACTGAACAGTCTTATTCCACTTATATTAGATAAGCATTATTTCTTAGAGAAGCACCAACCCAGTTGACAAGATAGGATATTTATCTATGTTTATAATCTTGTAAAAGCCACAGTGTCTTCCTGTTAAAATGCATATAAAGTGTGAAGCTTCATGATTTTTCTTTTTTGAAGTGAAGAGAATATGAAGGTAAGACAATTTTAAGAGCAGCCAATGAATAAATCAGATAAAAACCATGTTTTCTTAGCTTGTAATCAAGTATTGCATATTTATCTACAAATATCACACAGTGCAAACAGTGTGATAACACCTTTGTCTTTCAAGGGAGGCAAGGCAGAAGGGTTTCGATGCCTAGGCCAAAACCTCAGGCCTGATCCCCCTTGGATGCTTACCTGACCCAGCACATTGGGCTCTTTGTATCTTGCCTCTGTCTTCTGTACTCTCTGGGGTGCTGGTAGACATGATTGTCTCCTGCTGGCTCTGAATGGTGCAGTGTTACTTCTGTGAGCGTCTGGGCACTTTTATCTTCTGCCTGCAGTATCTGTAGTATAGGGGCTCATTAAATCCTTGCATGATTACCTTACATTGTATTAATAAAACCTTACAATGCACTTTTCTCAGATTAGACAGAAAGTTGTTAAGTGCTTATTTGGTTTAAATAACTTCTTATCCTAAGAATTAAATTAAAGATTCTTATACCAAGACGTAGCTATGCTTATATTTACCTAGAAAACCATGGGGTGTCTTGAGATTCCTCCATCCATATAAATTTCTTTAAAGATGAAAACATTTGTAAAAAAAATATTGGCTACTATAATATTGATGAGGATATTAGCTTGTAATCAAGTATTGCATATTTATCTACAAATATCACACAGTGCAAACAGTGTAATAACACCTTTGTCTTTCAAGGGAGGCAAGGCAGAATATAATATATTGGCACCCCTCCTGCCAATCTGGGGTGCAGAATATAAGTCTGCAGGTCTTGCAACAGCCAGGAGGTAGACAGTCAGGTCTGACATCTTTGAAGTCCTGTGGTGGGTGTGGGTAAATCCCAGAGTTTATTTCTGGGATAGGAGGAAAGGGCTGGGGTGGAGGGAGTGCTGCTGTCTGGAGATGTATTTGAAGTAACTCTAGAACATACCATAGAGAGCCATGAGTATCTAAGGGTAGAGAGTACACCTCTTCCCCTTGGAGGCTGAGCTGGCGGGGCAGATGATGAGAGCTCTTCAGAGGTGAGAACTGAAAGCAAGGAATTAGTTGAGTTTTGTAAAAAGAACTCTGTGCAAGGTGAAGGCAGGTTGTAGAGGAAGCCTTGTGTTTGCCAGGAGGAGACAAATCCTTCAGGGAAATGGGAAGAATGAAAAGACAGTGGGATCAGGGAACCAGAAGGTCTCTCTACTCAGATTCTTGTCTTCCTGTCTCCTCCGTGTAGCATTTCTTCCCCCAGATACGGGACAAAAGCTCTGGGGAATGAGTCACCAAAGGGGCAAGGAGAAAGTGACCTTCCTGGGCTTGATGGCTTGCTTTGTGAGAAAGTGGTCTGTGACCTGTCAGGGGAAGAGCAGTACAGAGGAGGAGACACCAGAGGCCAGATGGTGGGCGATCAGAGACCTTACTCCTGAGCCCTTCCGGTGTCCTTCAGTTCAGCATCCCCTCGAGCAAAGCTCCCTATTTTGCAGTATTGTGTTCTGAGCTCCAACGCTGCCCTTCTGAGGCCCCTAGTCCTGTTGGATTGGGGCCCACCTCAGGACCCCTTGTAATCTTAATTACCTCCCTTATTTGAAATACAATCACGTTGCAGAGTAGGCTTCACTACAGGCACATGGGTGGGGATCACGATTCAGTGTGTCCACAGCTCTCCAGGGTAAAAGGGTCAGTAGTCTACTTGGTGAGGAGTGGCTGTGTGCCCTGTTTGAGAATGAGGGGCAGATAGGGCTCAGTTGATGGCTGGCTGAATATGTCACACTGACAATAGCTTTGTGAGTGGCCCACAGATAGCCTCCTTCCCAGCCACCATGGCCATTCAGTCTGTGTGTCCACCCTGGAGGGACCTGTGATGGAGCTGCAGCCACTCTGCCTGCCTCTAGTTCGGTGCCTTTTCTGTGATGCATGTCCATGGTATGTACTAGCCTGTAAAACAAATTACTACTGTGTTCCTTTAGCTGTGTCCACTTGCCACCTCTTCCTGGGTTTCCTTGTCCCCTCCTTCCCGGTACCTGACTGGCCAAACAAGTTGTTGACCACACCCAGCAAGTCCACATGCTATGTCTTACTACTTCTCTTGATGCACCAAGCAGATGACTGAGTACAGTACCCAGCTGTGCCCCCGGCAGATTTTATTTTCTCTATCGCTGTCTTCCACTGGTTCCCCCAGATGGAGCCGCAGTGCATCCAGAATCCCTTTCCGCTGATGCGCCCACGCACTAGATTTGACGTTTGTGTTCTGTCAGTTGGTCGTCAGGAATCCACCGACTGTGGCAGCAGACATGAGCTGGGGAGAGGGTTCTGGTACAGCAGAGGAGGGTAGCATGGTGTTTGGCACAGATGCCTGTGTCCTCTGGCCCTGCCTGTGCTGGTCCAGTTTCCCATCTCCATCTCGTGGTGGATTTCTTCTGGGCCCAGCAAACTCGCTGCCTTGGTGAGTCCCTGCTGCAGCCACAGGTGCACCTGGCCCTTGCACAGGCACTGTAGCAGCTTTCAGCAGGAACACAGTAGAGGCACAGCCTGCCCTTGGACAGGTTCCTCCCGTGACTGGCTGTAAATGCACTCCAAGATCTTTGCTGACAGGAGACCACAGGATCACCTGGAACCAGCCCCAGCTCAGCACATGACCCACTATAGCTCCTGTCTGCGCTGAAGGTACCACCTACATTGACAGGCTCCTCTGCTTCTAGCTTGGTCTCCCTGTCCCCGCAGGTCTGAAGCCCAGCGCTGGGTACCGGCCCCTGGGTGCTTACAGGAGCCTTTGCGCTGCATGTTCTTTATTTACCCTAGGCTTACCGTGCCATCTCATTTATCTGCCTTGACCTCATCCTTCCTTAACCCTCATTAGCTTAGCCCCATGCCAAACACCCTCACATCTGTGCGCTGTAAATCACTGCGTAGGGAGCTGCTCCACGGGCAAGGAAGAGAGCCACGCCTCTACAAGCCAGCCCTGAGGGAGCCGCCTGTGCTATCTGCCTCCAGAGCTGTGGATGGCAGTTCCACAGGGAAGGTTTGCTCTCTCCTCTCTGTCAGCTTTTTATTACTTAGCACTAATATACAGGCCCTGGGGTAGCCACTGAGGTCACAGCTGTGGAGGCACAGCCACTGGTTCTGTCATCTTGGAGCAGAATTGTCAGCAGGCAGAGAACCACCATGGGTGCCAATCTCATAGCAAGCATTGTCTCATTACTTGCCTTGAGAGTATAGGTTTTCCTTCATGACCCTGGTGCTCAGAAGGGTACTTCTTGTCAGGGACACAGGACTGCTGATGAAGGGTCTGGGCTTGGGACCCCAAGGCCTCTGCCTCAAATTCCTGTATCACACTATTTCTCTTTTTGCTTTGGCTGGCAGGAAACTCTGCCAGGTTTCAGGTTCAATCAAATCAACTTTTAAACCCAGACTTAGAACTTTAGCTTCCACCTTCTGAAAGCTTCATGTGTATTTTTGTTTGTTTCTGTTTTTTGAGACAGGCTTTCACTTTGTAGTGCAGGATGGCTTTCAACTCACTGTGTAGCCCAAGCTGACCTTAACTCCCAGTGGTCCTGCTGCCTTAGCCTCCCAAGTGTGGGGATTACAGGCGTGCGCCATGATGCCTGGATCATGTGTATTTTTTTATTTGCTTTAATGCCTCTGAATCTTTTTATTGTGGGCAGCTTCAGGTTGTGTCCTCTCATTTAAAATAAGTCTATTGTTTGTTTAGAAGCTGTTGGTTTTCAGATAGTTGTCATAGCACTCAAGAGTTTATTTGATTAGAAGGTTGTTTCGTAACTAGTGTACACTTAAAAGGACTTGCCTGCAGCCTTTAATTTCAAGCTTTCAGGGGTAACCTCGTTTATTTCATTGTGTCCCCAGAGAGGTCTTTCCTATATCATCTTTCGAGTCAGTCCATCAGCTGCCCAGCAGCTCGCCGATGCCCACTGCCCATGTTCCTCAGTTGGCTCTGGGTCCAGCCAGACTGCTTGAGGAGCTGTCTCCAAGACTGGAGGGTCCCCTGAAGTGCACAAGAAGTGGAGGACACATCCCTTCCCTTAATGAGTTTGTGATCGGTCCCAGGAACACTGGTAGAGTTGCCTGGAATAGATGAACATGTGGGGATGCTGGGACACACGCTGCTGTGCCCATGGGAGGACAGTGCTGTCACTGCTGGCCAATCTGTCCAGGGTTTTGATGGCTGAAGCACAGGCATGAGTTGGAGGGCCGGAGAGGTCAAAGCTTATCAGTCCCAGAGAGGAAAGCAGCAAGCGTCCACATGGAGGGGACAGTGTGGCCCTAGACAGGAAAAACCTCCCGGAGCAGTGTGGGAGAAGCGTGCAGGGTGCACCGTGAGAAGTGGGATGTTGCAAGGCTGCTGATCGGTGAGGGAGTGCTGAGCAGACAGCTGGTTCAGGGTCTGACACAGAAGAAGGGGAAGTGGTCTGCTCAATAGCAAAGGTGGGATTCACCTCAGAGAATCACTACGGAGTGCCATGCTAAAGGCAGACAAGCAGGAGAGACCACGGAGGAGCAGCTACCTGCAAGGTGATTTTAAATCCAGCCCTTGGATGGTGGCGCCAGTCTTCACGGCTCCTCTTCCCTGTCCATTGCCAGGTGA